GTCCCGATATATAAGAATGGGTCAAAATCTTCTTGTAACATCCATAGTGGGATTAGTTTAACTAATATAGTATCTAAAATACTAACCTCGGTAATTATCAAACGCCCAACTAAGACTCGTGAACTGCAAACACGAGAAAATCAAGCTGACTTCAGACCTGGTCGTGGCTGCATCGATCACATATTCACCATTCGTCAGGTTCTAGAACACAGGCATACTTATCGGCGTCCGACAATGGTGGCCTTTCTTGACTTAAAAGCTGCATTTGACGCGGTAGACCGCGAGATTCTGTGGCAGTGTCTGTCATTGAAAAGCGTACCTTAGAAGCACATAGACCTTGTAAAGGCTCTTTACTCGAACACTACCAGTCGAGTCAGAGCATATGGCGAACTGTCATCTGCTTTCGCAACCTCAAGTGGTGTCTGTCAAGGCTGTCCACTTTCTCCATTTTTGTTTAACTTCATCATAGACCTACTGATGGAAATAACATTCTCGTCGACTGAATTCTCGAGTATTGATCTCCTTCCAGCAGGTCCACTTATCGACTTAGAATACGCAGATGATATAGTCCTGTTTGGTGAAGACGCTGATAAAATGCAGAGTCTTTTGGTAGCACCAAGGAACAATGCCAGAATGTTTGGAATGCGCTTCTCTCCCTCTAAATGCAAGTTGTTGCTTCAGGACTGGTCTGCGTTAACACCTGAACTAAGGATAGGGAGTGAATTAGTCGAACGCGTTGACAACTTCACTTATCTTGGAAGTCTGATCAGCCCTAATGGGTTGGTATCGAACGAAATCTCAGCACGGATTTAAAAAGCTCGTTTGGCTTTTGCCAACCTACGTCACCTATGGCGAAGGCGAGATATCCGTCTATCAATAAAAGGACGAGTATACTGCGCGGCAGTCCGTTCTGTTCTACTTTACGGCAGCGAAACATGGCCATTAAGAGTAGAAGATACTCGTAAGCTACTAGTATTTGATCATAGATGTCTTAGAAATATTGCTCACATCTGCTGGGATCACCGGGTAAGAAATAGTGAAGTCAGACACAGGGATATTAGGGAATGATGGTAAATTAGTTGATGAGGTTGTGAATCTTCATCGACTGACACGGTTGAGCCAAGTGTTACGTATGTCTGAACACCCATTACCACGACGCGCAATGCTGATTACTGTTGGGGGTGGTTGGAAGAAAGTTAGGGGCGGCCAAACCAATATGTGGCATCAGTCCCTGAAGTCACTATCTTCTATTCTTAGCCATGTTGGTAGATACAGAATACTTGGTTGACGTCTACATGATTGGAGACTCTTGGTGACATAGTTCACAACTGATCACAATGGTGTAGATCTATACACTCTTTGTCTTCCCTTAAACTAAGAGATTAAAATCACTTCATGTCTTTCTTTCTACAAACTAATTCTTTCTTTCTGTACTATATCCTTATACAAAATTTTCGTTTATAGATCACTACTGTTAAAATGACTACTTCTATGAATTTGATGTTCATTTTGTTGTGCTAATGAGGTATGACAACTTGAACCGATGCAAATATTTGCCCGATCCTACATTGCAGCTGATTAACTGACTGACTGATTGTATTGAATTCTTTATATTCTTTAATTATGATAAGTAATTCATTGAAAAATTCGTATGTATAATTCATATATGAAACACAGAAAGTTATTTCATACAAATAACACCATTCTATTTAAATTATCTTAACATTGTCTATTTGTATTAGAAATAGATTTTGTTTCACTAAATGAATCATTTGATTGTTTACTTTTGGTTGTCATAGAAACCGTAATAATTTTTGTTTATTTGTTTGCTTGTTTATGGAATAATCGAATAAAATTAAAATTAAATTTTGATAATGAATAGAAACAAAATTTATTTTGAATTTATCAGAAACGAGGGGGGGATTTGTTAAGATTTTAGTCATTTTTATTAATTGAATACATGAGTCAGCTGAAGTTAGATCATGATAGAAAAGCTGGAAGTAATGGAAGGCTGTTTCATCCTCAGTAGTAAGCATCCACGATCCCGCCTCCCGGAAGATTCGAATCGAGGACCTACTGGTCTTGTGCACGAACGTTTAACTTCTAGATCACTGAGCCAACCTGTATTCAATGGTGTTATTGTGTAACTTCAGTCAATCCACGAAATTCAGTGACACATCTACCATTGTCTTCAGTGAGTAATTGCCTCTCAACAGACACGCTTGAGCTCCACTTGTCACGGTTTCTCATTAGAACTGGAAGAAACACCTCTTGAAGTCAGTTACTAGTGAGCACATGATAATTGTTGTCAGAAGGAGGTTTTGTTAGGATTGTAGTAATTTGATAGTAGAATTCATCAGTCTGTTGAAGCTAGACCATCATCGAGAACCTGGAAGCGCTGAACGGCCATTTCATCATAGTATGGCACTCCTGAGCAGTACGCATTTACGATCGTGACTGAAATGTTCATCCAGTGTTTTCAGGTTTTACATGATGGTCTAGCTTGAATTGACTCATGAATTCATCTATTTTTAATTTACTCCATTTATTCAAGTTATTGTTTAAAAGTGTCTCACTAAATGCTTGTTGAATAGTAATTTGTTGGGAAAGATCCAGAAAACTCGTCAGAAAAAAAAGTCAACAAACGATCTAGAAACGCTGAGAAACATCTTATCCAATCAGCATTCAATAGAATTGTTGCCAGAAACATGAAGAAAGTGAAAAGTCATATGTTACGTTTCTAATTGGATGATAGGTACCTATACTGTTATTATGTTTAGTAGTGTTCTAGAATTTTTCGGAAACACAAAATCATCTAAAAGTCTATAATTACCCTATATTTTCTATGCGTAAACGAACCTTTGAAGTGAAGCATTTTCTTTCATATTTCGCTACTTTTCTCTCATGTTCAGGTTGCTGTGTTTATTTAGCCTGGAGGAGGAAGGTTATTATAAGCAAGAGCTTTGGACACCGAATCAAACATTCAATTAGATTGATCATAATTTTTTTGTGAAAATATATTAGTTACTCAAAAAAATATTTATGTTAAACCTTTAGAATCCAAAGAAAACAGAGTAAGATGGTTTGTCAAAACAACCACTAACAAATATGGAAGAGCACCTACTCCGAAATGGATTAAACTACAATACAAGCGACGCCTCAAAACTGGAATTCTTCACACCACTATAGTCATCACTCAAAACTTCCGCAGTCAGTGAATAAACACAACAAGAAGTAAGGCAAACTATAGTACAGCTAACTCAACAGGTGAAAGAAAACAACTAACTGACCTCACAAGAATTAAAAGCTTTGAAGAAACTCAGAAATAGAAAGGACATTGTCATAGCTCCAGCGGACAAAGATCGCACCACAGTAATTATGGACAAAGAAGAATACGTCAAAAAAAGCTAAGGAACTACTTGAAGATAAGAGCACACACAAACTGACGGATATAAATCCCATCAAAAAATTAGACAACCAAATCTCAAAGACTTTAAACAAGCTAGTCAAAGCAGGAGAAATAACAAAACAAGACCAATGGAGAATGAAATCCAATGGACCAGTACCCCCTCGGTTCTATGGCAGACCGAAAATACATAAACCAAATATTCCACTACGTCCAATTTTAGCACTCCCCGGAACACCAACGTACAATTTGTCAAAAGGAATTTCAAGAATACTGAGACATTTAGTAGATTCAGCCAACCACTCCATCGAATCCCCTACACAATTCCTGGACCAAATTAAGAACATCCAAATCAACAACGACGAACTTATGGTATCCTTATTCACGTCAATTGAACCAAGGTTAGCAAAAGAAACGATATCTCTGCTCCTCACCAACGACACAAATCTCAAATTCAAGGTCTACTAGAACTCATCGATTTATGCCTAACAACATATTTTCAATTCAACAACAAAATCTACGAACAAACGAAAGGGGCACCAATGGGATGACCGATATCAGGACTGATCGCAGAAGCAGTGATTCAAAAACTAGAAGCCGCGATATTACCAGTGATCAAGCCAAAAGTTTGGATTCGCTATGTAGACGACACATTCGTCATCGTCAAAAAGAATGAGCTGGAAAATAATGCACAAATATAGCAACGAAAATCAAATCAATGGGAGACACAACCAAAACAAAGAAGTAAACAATGACAAATTTAAGGTTAATAAGAACCAATCAACGTCGAGGTGTACAGAACAAGCTGTGAAATGCATATGGAGAAATTCGAACACTTTACTTCTCTCTGAAGTTTGTGCTGATTATGTCGTTCAGAAGAACGATGAAAGCTCCACGATCAAACCATCCAGCTCAGAGAACGAAATCGCATCAAAAACAGAGGAAGTTGAAATGGGAAGTTTTTGTGTTGAAATGAAAACAGATCAAATATGTTGAAGTCAAGTTGAGAATTTTTAGTTCAAATGGATAATTTTATTCATATTGTATTCTGTAAAGTGAATCATACAGAAATCATCAGTCTTAGGTAATATCGTTGGATATCGAATCACTTACTCATCAAGAAGTTTAAAGTTTGCACATAGGACTAAATGTCCTCAGTTCGAATCCCGTATACGAGATTATGAATGTGTATTATTGGTTAGTCTCATATTAGAATGAAATGGTCTTATAGTACTTTCAAATTTTTTCCATAATAATATGGCTTGAATGAACTTATAAATAGAAGATAACTTACACATTGTTCAGACGTTTCATGCACTTATATAAATTGTTGCTATGGTTGTTATATGGGGCATCGGCCTCCTGGCTTTCGAAGAAACTCGGCTTTCACCATCAATCATCATAGTTCTTCTAAATGAAGACCTTCTAACTCTCAGAGCAGATTTTAAATGGTTTGAATTATTTTTCTTCTGGTTAGCGGTTTTTTTTTTGCGAGTCGCTAACCCCATGCCCAACCCTCTTCCTTTACCCGGGTTTGGGACCGGCAGTAACTCTAAAAGAGCTACAATCGAAGTTAAATAGAAGATAAGTAATAAATGAATTGTATATTCATTTATTCTTTGAAATAAACAAAATTCTAACCTTTTAAAAGAACATCATAAAGGATCAAAACAACAGTCTATCATAAACATAATTCAATGTTACAATCATATCAATCAAATTGTATAAGGAATACTGTATATCATTGATTATTGTCATCAATTACATAATACATAGATAAATCATTCAGTAATATGGACATAATAATAATATTGTATAAAGTAATTAAAGGGTAAATAAGATAACTATGGTTATCGCATATATATAGAATGTAATATACAACACAATTGAGTTGTTTGTTATTTACTTTGATTCAATTGATTAACAGGTTGAGATGGATTAGGGTTTGAATTTGTATTCATAGAAGTATTAGTAGTGTTATTAGTAGTAGTAGCAGTAGCAGTAGTAGTAGTAGTGGTGTTGATATCTGGATGTTTACAAAGTAATTCAGTGATTGCAACCATACTACCAAATATATACGCGCCAAAATTAGCTGATGTGAATATCTATATAAATGAATGAAATTATGATTGTAAAACAATATAATGAGTCATTGAAATATACTACTTAAAAAGAGTTATGTGAACAAGGGTATATTTTGTAAGCAATGATGGATAGTGGCTAGCAGTGGAATCCATGACGCGCGTTTCGTCCCACTTGGGACTTGTCAGCCGGATGTGTCTGCATCTCAGAGTTGATGTTCACTCTGGGACTTGAACCCAGTACCATTCGCTTCAAACGCCATCACGTTATCCACTCAGCTACTGAGTCCTGATAGCTACTTGCTTGTGCAATGGAGTGAATTTCAATTCACACACAGTATGCACATATGCCAATAACAGACTGATCAATTACAGTTTTAAACCTCAATGGGAAGATACAAGCCAAACAATACCAAGTGAAGGGTATATTTTGTCGGGGGTTTTTTTCTTTTCTAGAACTCATTGATTAAACTTATCAAAAAGTCAACAAAAGTATATTCCATTCAAATGTCTAGAAAAAACCCTGTGTTATACACTAATTGGATGATAACATCATTTAGCATTGTTTCAGAAGTTTATAGAGGTCAATATTATTGTCAATAATCTTACTTCATATTATTTTTCTTTATTGTTTGAGGATCTAGAACTTACTTACTCCTATAACTCTTCGTGGAAGAGCATAGACCGCTCACTAGCATTCTCCATCCAACCCTGTCCTATGCCATCCTTTCCAGCTCTTTCTAGTTGTTGTTCATCCCTTTCATATCTGATTCCATTTGTTCTTCAGCCTTCTGCTTTTCCGTTTCCATTCACGATTCCAAGTTAGAGATTGCCTCTTGATGCAGTTTGATGATTTGCGTAATGTATGTTCTATCCATTTCCATCGTCTTTTCTTAATTTCTTCAGCTGGAAGCTGGTTTGTTGTCTCCCAAAGAAGGCTGTTGCCGATGGTATCCAGCCAATGGATGTTGAGTATTTATAAATACTTGTACCTTCTTGATGATGGTTGTAGTAGTTCTCCAAGATTCAGCTCCATAAAGTTGGACGATCTCGACGTTCATATTGAAGATTGTGACTTTGATATTGGTTGAGAGACAGTTGTTTTGAGTTCCATATGTTTTTCAATTGTAAGGATGATCTAGAAAGCGGCTAGAAATTTAGTGTCAAACAACTGAGTGAATAGTATATATCAATTATCCTCATGAAGTTCAGTAGATGTATCCTGACGTACCTTTTGTTATCCATGGTACTTATCAGTAAGTCAATTTTAGATGTGAGGAAAATAGTGTTCCAAACTTGATAAATGATTAATTCAGCACAGAACTTAACGATTCATGTTTGATCAAACATTATTCAATGACTGTTAGATTCGATGATTTGTTGAACACTCTAACGTCTATTTTTAACTTGAGATTTTGACGTGGAAGCTGTCAAACAATAATTTAATTGTAAACATTGTCTGATGAGATGCTGAGATGATATTGCCATCAAATGCCCAAATAGTACGAACGAGAGTGGGGAGATTCCACTCTCCTTCTCGAAATACTCTGTAGTGTCGGTTATTATGTTAAGCTCATAAACCGCATTCTAGCTTTCGTACAGGTCAATCTATTCATTCTACTTGAGTTACGTTTCGATCTTGTTAATTATCCACTTATCCAAACTTGACTGTTTTTATATGAGTGTATCTGTGTATACAAATCTTATCCTATTCATCACATGTCTGTAACTGATTTTTGTGGGACTATAAATATTGATAGGCGCTTGGTTAAATGGATTTGTTTCATAGGCCTTATTCACTGGGCATCATTTCGACTCGCTCTCATCCCTATGATTCATTCCATGATTGCCTGTTTAAATCAATGGGCGCATGAAATATACATATTCGAAATCCATTTTCGTATTTAGCTTATTTAATCCCGTTATTCACTAACGCGATCTAAGCCGACCAAGATATACGAGAATAGTGAAGATATATATTTCGATAGCAAACATTCATACGATCTAATTGGAGTCAGATCTCGGGCCACTAAACTCTCACATGGCTACGCGTATACTGCCACTGCCAGGGGAGTCCTACTTACTACCTTCTCGTGGTACCGGTGTTGTTTCCAAAATTGAGAAGACGAAAAGCGAATATCCCGCGCTTTATTCGGGTTGGTGGATATGGAAGGTTCACCTAGGGGAGTTGGACAATGATTCCAAACCAACGGTGTACATTGGCTTCAGGATCCTGAAGAAATAAATGCTGTATGAACCTATTGTTGGTCACTGGCTACCATGAGACTGCATATCCTAACGCTGCTCCACTACCTTGTGGATCAGACGTTTAGGTAGAAGGCTTCGGGAGTGGAGCACTGAGAAAACCACCTGTTTCGGTCTGGGCATCCAGGCAGTATCACAGTCCACTCACAAATCAAGGGAGTTGTGTGGTGCATATGTACTCAGTGTCTCTGTGTTTCATTATTTATGTTTTCAAATATATAAATGGGATGATGCTGAAAGAAGAGCTGCACTGATATGGAAAGTTCATGACTTCAACATCAAGCATTATCTTTTCAAGTAGCTAATTATATCAAAGTTACTGACAAATTACCGAAATACTCAAACGGTGCTGATGATAATATCCTCGAGCATAAGTCTGTGAATAAATATTAATATAAAATTATAATGTTTGGATGGATTACAATCATAGTTGCCTAATCCAGTGTCATTATACAAATATTATTGCTTTTGAAGTATTATTACAAAGGTGTGATCAGTCGAGTTCAGCCACATTTAAAGTAAGACAGTCATCACTTCTGGGAATGAATAACGTATATTCCACAACATGTAATGACAAAAGTTAAGAATATGCTTCATAGATCGTTTAAATGTAATGCGCTCTCCCCAATGCTTTAAGGTTCTGGTTTAGACCTAAACTAACATGTCTCATACTAGAATTAAACAGTTGTCTAATACTTTCCAATTTCTTATAGTCTGAAAATATCGTCGTTTTCACAATGCGAACTATCCCTGTAGTTATAAGAAAAGATGAATAATGACTAGCAGTGGAATCCAGGACACACGTTTCGTCCTATTTAGGACTCATCAACTGGATGTACCTGCATCTCAATAAGAGACTGACCAATTTCAATCCTAATCATCAGTGAGAAGAGTCAAGTAAAACGATACCAAATGAATTTAAACTTCACCCCATCATACAAGAAAGTAGCTGCCAGAACTCAGTAGCTAAGTGGATGACGCTATAGTGTTTGGAGCAAACAGTACAGTCTCCGAATGGACATCAACTGTAAAATACGGGTACACCCAGCTGATGAGTCCCAAATAGGATGAAACACGCGTCCTGCATTCCACTACCAACCACTATTCATCTTTGCTTACAATGATTGTGAATTAAGACAATATTGAGGCAATCCGCACATGATGCAGTCTCAAATAACAATGAGAAGACTGAAGTAAAACAACAATACCAAGTGAATTTCACAATTGATTGATCACTGGGCAGTGATCAATATCATGTGTGTCAAGTCCTTCATAGTGCAGATCGAATGCTATCGGCCAAGTGATCAACCCAGTGATCAATCAATTGTATATACATCTCAGTTGTACAAGAGATCAGTTACGGACTGGATAGCTTAATGATAACATCTCTGTTTGAACACCATGGAGAACCTGGAAACGCTGGACGGCCGTTTCGTTTTAACTTGGGACTCCTCAGCAGTGCACATCCACGATCCCGCCCCTCGCGAGATTCGAACCCAGGACCTATCAATCTCGCGCCAGGAGCTTAATCAAATAGACCACTGAGCCGGTATTCAACGGTGTTAATGTCTAACTTCAACCAATCCACGAAGTTGCGCCACCGTATACCATTGTTTTCAGTGAGTTGATATCTCACAACAGACCCAGTTGAACTCCACTGGTCACTGCTTCTCACTAGAACTCCAGGAATATCTCTTGAAATCAGTCACTTGTGAGCATATGTTGATTTATATCGGAAGAAGTTTTGTGGAGATTTTAGAAATTTCACTAATTGAAATTATTATTATTATCATTACTACCGATTATGATTGTAATCAATTCTTATCTTTAATAACACTGATAATATAATCAGAACATTTAATCATAAATAAATAGACATTACTTACTGTAATTGGTCCAATAAAATATTGTAAATAATCTATTTGATTAAATGTTACACCAATTGATATACAATAAAGTAATGTGACAATTAATTGATAAATTGTTTCCTTGATTATTAAAACAACAGAGAGAAATAAAAGAAAAGAAAAAAGAAGAAAAAGTTAAATAAAAAGAAAATAAATAAATAAATAAATATATATATATATATATAGGAAATTAACAATTAAAATGAATTCATTCATTATCATAAACTTCACGCACACACACACACGCGCGCACGCACACACAGACATACAAACGCACAAACACAGAGACACTCACACACACTAGCACACAGATACACGAACACAAGAAACACACACACACACGAACACATAGACATACAAACACACAAACACAAATAGAGACACTCGCGCACACGTACAAACACACACGTACATTCATGAAATAAACCATTTAATTTATGAATATTTGGAGTGATGATAAAACTACCAAAAGTAAATAAATAAATGATAATTAAATAAACAATGAAAATATTGAAATGGTTATTAAGTTGACATTTAAAGATAAAAATTGAATCCATTTAAATTAAATGATCTATGATCAATGACGCAGGAATCATTTAAAAAGGCTTTAATTCTTACAAAGAATGATTAACAGTTGAAGCCCTACACATATATGGGCTAATTCAAACAGTATTCATAGGAGACATGGAATACAACTAGCTGTCCTATGGCAACTAATAATTAATAAGTAAACCTAAACTTTTTATTCCATTTGATCTATCTATATTATATTAACTAATCAATAGATAATACATTCAACGGTTTCAAATCAGTTAGCTTATCTGAATATCACTTGTTGAAATCATCAGTCAATTGAATCTAGAACACCATGGGAAACCTGGAAACACTGGACGACCGTTTCATCCTAGGATGGAACTCTTCAGCAGTGCACATTCACGAACTGACACATGAGATTCAAATCTAGAACCTTAGATCTTGTACGCGAACACTTAACTTCTAGATCAGTAAGCCGGCATCTAAGACTCTCGGTGTCGTAAGGGAACACTTAACCTCTAGATCACTGAAACAGCTAGCATTCAATCGGTATTTTTGTCTAATTTCAATCAATCCAAGAAATTACGCTACCGTCCACCACCATCACGAAATTCGAATCCAGAACCTTCAATATTAATTCTTCGAAATCATTTAATGAATGTACCTATTTTTGTAATTTACATGACTTAAAAACTTTTTTTTCTCTTTTAATTTTCATATTGAAAAAAAAAACAAAACAAAACTTTATTTCATTTTGTTTAAATGTACTTTAATAAACTATATCAAATGAACAATATCAATTGAATACAATGATTCTATGCATAGAAATTATTGGAATAATAATGAGTTTATGAAATGATTGATTGTTGTATAGAATATATTTAAATATTCAATTATATATTTATTTTGTTATAAATGTAAATCATATATGAATAATATTGAAAGTTGAATAATGATGATTGTTCTTATTAAATATTAGTAGTATATTATGTTTAAAGTTAAAAAAGATATATAGGAAACTTAAAATAAATTGTCTATCAATCAATATTAAAGTCAAAATCTTTAATACGAATGTCAAGATAGTCTTCCTGTACGAAGATGAAATGTGGAGAACTACTTCAACTAATATCAAGAAAGAACAAGTTCTCATAAACACTTATCTATGTAAGATACTGAATGTTCGTTGTATGGATATCATCAACAACAGCCTATTGTGGGAATGAATAAATCAACTTTCATCTGAAAAGGAAATTAAGGAAAGACATTGGAAGTGAATCGGACATACACTGAATACATGCATTGATATAAGTGAAGATATGTCATAGCATTTGAACACTAATTAATGTTCATGCAGGCGCAGAATGATGAGGGCATCCGCATTGTTCGATGCAGTGTTTTTCGCAGTTGACACAATTTATTTTGTAGATGATGTTGAGTTTGTCTTCTTTTGTCATTTCATCCTTTGATTTACATAGGACTGATTGCAGTGATTTTGTTGGTTTGTGTACAACACCTATTCCGAAAAGTTTCAACAATCTCGTTGTAGTTTCTGATATGCTTTTTATATATGGTAGGGTGATCCGTTTGTTGATTTCTATGCTCGATATTGTTTCTGATGATGCATTCAGCTGGTATTTTTCAACGAAGTTGATTGGGTAGCCGTTCTTTTGAACGATAGTTTTCAGGTATTTTTCTTCATTCTTTTCGTGCTGCAAGTGTGCTTCAGTGTGTTCTCGCCCTCCTTTATAGAGTTTGCATGTAGTTGTGAGCTCTTGAGTTGCTGCTAATGTAATTAAGAATTTGATTTGTGTGGGTCGGCTTTCGATATACTTGAGTCTCCAGTTTTCTTATGTCGGTTTTGGTGATTACTACATCCAAGAATGGTAGTTTGTTGTTAGATTCCTGTTCCATTGTTGTTTAAGACTGCAACGGATCATACTTTTATTGCTATATGAACATCCTGTGCGTATTCCTTCGATAATGACTTAAGTTACAACCAGCTCACAAGTTTCTGCATTCCACTGCTAACCACCATCCATCTTTGCATATAATCAATAATTAGATTCTGAGATAAATAAACACTATTTACTGTGGAATTATCTCTTTTTTTTAAAAATCGTCTAAACTGATGGTTGAATTCATGAGTTAATTAAAGCAAGAAGATCATCATGGAAAACCTGGGCACATTCGACGACCGTTGCATCCTAGTACGAGACTTATAAACGGTTGGAGTTATTACACAGGAAACCCTAGACCTAGGTTTTGTGTTACTTGGCACTCGTCAGCAAGGTATGCCTGTAGACTCGAGGGAACTGGTACTCCCTGACGGATTCAACCCCGTGTCATCTAGCTTCACAGTCAGAGATTTTACCACTAAACTATCCAGGCCGCGACTGATCTCCTGTAGAATTGAGATGTATTTACAATTGATTGATCACTGAGCGGGTATCAATGTCATGTATGTTAGGTCCTTCTTAGTGCAGATCGAAATGTGGCCAATAGTCTATGTGACTCGACATTGCGTGCACTATGTTATATCTTTCACCTATTCAACTAGCAGTCGAAAATATTGCAATTCAGTCATTTACGATCAGATGTATCCCACATCATATTTCAAGTTATTTTAACACTTAGTTTAAAAAATCTGGATCAATCGATCTAAATTCATTCAATTATACTAATATTCTTCACTTTATAACTCTACATCATGTACAAGCCACCTTCAACGAGCTACATAGGAACCATCTATACAATCGTTTTAATCTACTAGATTTTGTATTTTAAAATGTCTCTATTTATTGAAAAAAATGATCTCTGTCACAACCAAAGCATTCCACATGGTTTAAAAATTACTTTTATAATATTGTCATAGACCTGAAAGTGTCCTGTCAAAATACCGACGATAGAAAAGTAGATCATATTGAACAAATTTAAACTGAAGTAGAACAGATCTAACAGCTATCACGTATATATTGTAGCTTATCAACTATTATTATCCCAATGACCTTGGTGATCTCCCTTACCTTTTACAGAAATAATCTTGTCATTTAGTTTATAGATTGAAATTTATCTCATTTCCAATATAATGATTGCTATATGTTTATTTGCTTAAATTTATAAAAGTGGCTTAATAAAAAGACTGATAGGTCCTAGATTCGAATTCTGTAAGGAGGATCGTGGATGCGCACAGCTGAGGAATCTTATACTAGGACGAAATGACCATCTAATTCTTCCAAGTATTCCATGATAGTCTAGCTTGAATTGATTTATAAATTCAATTAATCACTTAATTAAAAGGTAGTTCATTTACAAATCAACATTATAGATTGTTAGTTAAGTGATTAGAATAATCTGGGTGACACGGGATCGAATCTGCTAGGGAGCACCAGTTCCTCCAAGATTACAGGTACACCTTGCTGACGAGTGCCAAGTAGCACGAAACCCGTGTCCAGGATTTCCTGTTGACAACCTCCAACCATCATCTAATGTGGATAATCTTATTGGTTTATTTCCTTTTGATATTGAACCAATCAGAATAAAGTATTCAATTGTGTTTCTATCATTATTATGACATTAAACTGGTTATTATTATTTTTTGTGAAATTATAATTTTGTGTAACCAAATGCCTAATATTATCTTATAGTATTTCTGTAAATCAGTATATAATACTGTGATATCTACTACTTATGACCACATAAGTAGTATATAATGCTAGTCTGGAATAGAATGTCTAGTAGCAGACAGTTGAAAAGATCGAAAAGGAAAGAATGAGAACAGAAAGTAATTGGTATGATAATACAAAACGGCTGATTGACATTTACAGAAAGAATAGTCAAGTTTGAGAAAATTGATTGATATTTTGCAAATGAAATATTTAATGTATGATCCTCAGATTCTCAATCAGTTAATCAGTAACAACGTAGAACTACGTACGTACGTATATCAATTCGAGTTGACATACCATATTAGTACAGAGATGCAGTTTTCTATTCAAATTCTATAGTGTTAGAGGTAGTAAAAGTATAAGTAGTAATTGAAAAGATTACGGTTAGAGAATGTCTCTATTTGAGTTCTCATTCACTACAATACTAATGATAGTAACATACGCTGTCATCATGAGAGATCATAACAAATATTATCTGTTTGTTTAATGTGATTCTAATCTATTTAGTGATACCAAGAATCACTTCGATGAGAATTAAAATGTTCCAGTTTTATAAAATAAATATCTGTTGAATACTTCTTTTAAGTAAATTTGAAATAGGACGAAACTCGCATCCTGGATTACACTGTTAGTCACTATCCATCTTTGCTTAGAATGCTTGTGAATTAAGGTAATATCGAGGCAATCTGCACACGATACACATATACCAACATGAGATTGATCAATTGCAGTCCTAAATAACAATGGTAAGATACAAGTAAAACAACAATACCAAGTGAATTTAAACTTCACCCCATTACACAATCAAATGGCTATCAGGACCCAGTAGCTAAGTGGAGAACACGATGGTGTTTGAAGCGAACGGTACTGGGTTCGAATCCACGAATGAACATCAACTCTGAGATGTAAGTATGCCCGGTTGACGAGTTCCAAATAGGACGAAACGCGCGTCCTACATTCTATTGCTAGCCATTATCCATTTTTGCAGATAATCCTTGTGACTTAAGACTATATCAAAGCAATCCACACAAAGAATACACATATACCAATAAGAAACTAATCAATTATAGTCTTAAACATCAATGAGAAGATTCAATTAAAACAACAATACCAAGTGAATTTGTATCATTTCAAAAGTTTGTTTATTAAATAAAAAAATGGAACTCACAATTAATTTTAATATTGATCGACCATCTAATGGTCTTGTTGTAGCAAAACCATACATTAATAAAAAGACAATATTTCCAATAGCTGAAAATGTTCCAATTCCAATTAAATATTGAAATCCTATTTCATTATAACCTCTTCCAGCTAATGCAATACAAATGATACCAAGGATCTAGATGAATAAAGGAAAGATGAATTTTTTTAAAAAAAAGAAGAAATTTTATTAAGAATAATTCAGAACATGCATATGAAACTATGATCCTGATGGAGTTATATTCTATGAGCTAGATGATTTGATCGTGGGAGCATTCATTATTCTTCTGAATGACATCATTAGTAGTACAAACTTCAAATAGAAGTGAAGTGTTCGAATCTCTTCACATATAGTTCACAGTTCATCCTGCACATCTCGATGTTGATTGGTTCTTATTGATCTTAAATCTGTCATTGTTTACTTCTTTGTTTTGGTTATATCTCCTATTGGTTTGATTTTTGTTTCTATGTTTATTTATTGCTAGGGTTGAAGCTATCACGAGTTCACTTAATCTACGAATGAGAAACAAGACTCGATGACCAAAGACCAGTAAGCTAGCTACTGATGCGCCCCATCCCCGCTAACTAGAGGGACAAGTCTAAGCTTGGAATGGGGAAGTATATTCTGCAAACAGTCAGAAACGAGCGATAACAACAAACACATTTCAAAACGTATATATACAGTACAAAACCGTTCTTGGGGAGAGTTACCAAATAGCATACTAAAAGACGCAACGGACCAATAGTATTTAAGATATTTCCCAAGTGGAAAATACGACATGAAGGTGACAAGAGCGCTTTTGGCGCGAAAACAAAAAATTGAAATTTTCTGAATAAAATTACAAAATTAGGTCATTTCCCAAGTGAGTTCTGAGGATCTAATGTCTCCAACATTTATTATTCATTTATACGGTGAGACAATCATTTACAGACAACCTTTGAGGGTATCCACCTAATAACTAGGACCAAATGAAGGTTATAAATTAGTATGAGGAATTTAAATTATGATTTACAGTTGATGATTAAGAGTTAGGAATTAAATTTAAGGTTTTCATCATGAACTGACATCAGTTATAATACCAAAACTCTATTTAGTCAAATGGATGAATGAATTTCGCGCCAAATTCCGAGACCTGTCATCTTATACCTGATTGGTTCGTCCATATATGATATTCTTGCCAAATATACTTCTATTAGAATTCAATTACATTGTAAATCACTAATTGACGATTATAATTATCAGAATGAGTTTCGTGGAGATTTTAGGAAATTTCACAGGTTGAAATCATGAGTCAATTGAAGCTAGACCACTATGGAAAACCTGGAAACGGCCGTCCAGTGCTTCCAGGTTTTTCATGGTGGTCTAGCTTCAATTGACTCATGATTTCAACCTGTGAGATTATCATTATCATTAAACAACTAATTGTTCTTTTTTTAATAAGAATTCATGGGTCAATTAAAGCTAGAACACCATGGAAAACTTGAAAACATTAGACGGCTATTTTATCCTAGTATGGAACTCCTCTCACTGGAGTTTAACCATGTGTGTTGTGAGATAGTAACTTATTGAAGACATTGGTGAACGATGGCATGATTTCATAGATTGGTTAAAGTTAAATATTAACACCAATGAATACCAACCGTGACTCATTGATCTAGAGGTTAAATGTTTACATATGAGACTGTAGATTCTGAATTTAGATCTCGTGAACAAGATTATGGATAAGCACTTCTGTAAAAATCACATATTAGGACAAAACACAACCTTCCAGTACTTTATACTTTTCCATAATACTCTAACTTTAATCAACTATTGAATGATTAAACTATACACAAAATCCCTCTCTAATAATTGTAAACTAATTAAGATTTATTTAAGAAACCAGGTCTGTTGTGAGATTGTAACTCACTGAAGACAATGGTGGATGTGTCGCTCAATTTCGTGAATTAGTTGAAGTTAGACATTAACACCATTGGATACCGGCCCAGTGATCTAGTGGTTAAGTGCTCGCGCGCGAAACCACTAGGTTCTGGGTTCGAATCTCGCAGGGCTGAGGTCGTGGATACGCACTGCTGAGGAGTCCCACAACCGGACGAAACGGCCGTCCAGTGCTTCCAGGTTTTCCATGATGGTCTAGCTTCAATTGACTCATTATCTTACTCATTGAAATTACTATAATATCCATAAAACCCATCTGAAATAAGAATTTCTATATTCATCTATTATGTAACACATAATTGTGTACCCATAAAAAAACATTTGCCCATTATTTTATTGATTAATTAATTAATTAATCAATATTTGACCTTATTGATTGTTTGTTTCTTCTTCTTCTTCTTCTTCTTCTTCTTTACTTATAGGCTTATTATATTTACATAAACCTCTGGGAAATTATCATTTATTTAAATGACCTTGAATGATAATAAAAATCAATAAATGTGCGGATAATTTAAATTAAAAAAAAGACAAAACTAATTTGCGGTCAATTCAAATAATGAAAACTATATCTACATTGTTTCTAAGTGATTTATACACTTTTTTGGTGGGTTTTTCTCTAATTGGAATCAACAGAATTGTTTCAGAAGATGTAGAAAACTCCTCAGAGAAAAAAATCGATTGAAAATAAGGATCTTAAAAAACATTGAGAAACATCTTATCTAATCGGTATTCAATAGAAGTTTTGTCAGAAACATCTGGAAAGTGAAAGTCCTGTAGGAGGTTGGTCACGGCCCAGATAGCTAAAGTGGTAACGTCTCTGACTGTTATGACCTTGAATCGCTTTTACCCCGTTGATACTTGTTATGACTCGACCTTGATCGGTCTAGTCTAAATTATGACCTTGACGCGATAGGCTGAGCGGCTTAACCTTGAGTCTAGTACGCGTGAGTTCGAGATGGGGTAGAGAGATAACTATTCTAGAACCTGATTGGTTGGCAAGCACGCAAGTGAGAGAAGACAAGACAGTTGGAACACTGAACTCTGGATTCCCTGAATTCTCTGAATTCGGATTAGTACAAAAATGTACATGAATAAATAAGTGAATATCTTGACCACGACGTACGATAATTTGGAAAAATACAGTTTTGCCGGAAACTGGGAATTAGAGTAGAAAATACGGTGCAAAATATTATGTTTAAATTACAATATTTTCGGAACAAAAAGGGGTATGGTAGTGAATGATACATAGAACGAAAGCTCATGTCATGTAGAATAAGATAGGGACAAAAATAAATATGAGTGTTTTACAGGGTTTGAATGAAATGAATTAACGTTCCAAGAAAATGGCTTTCGTAGTTGTCTGGGCTTCTTAATTCCCCGTTCACAACACTGACTGTGAAGCTGAGAGACACGCGATCGAATCCGTCAGGGAGTACCAGTTCCCTCAAAGATTACAGGTACATCTTGCAGACGAGTGTCAAGTAGCACGAAACCCGTGTCCAGGGTTTCCTGTCGACTACCTCCAACCACCATCTAATCACATCTGGAAAGTGAAAAGTCACATGTCGGATTACTGATTTGATGATTACTTATACTGCTACTATGTTTAGTAGCACTTCAGAATTTTCGGGAACCCTAAGGACACCTAAATTGTTATAAATACCCTATATTTTCGAACAAACCAGATCCCAGAGGAGGAAGAAATCAACAAGAAGCACTGGAAGTGGATAGGACACACATTGAGGAAAGAACACAACTGCGTCACAAGACAAGCCCCTTACATGAAATCCTCAAGACTAAAGGAAAGAAAGGAAAATCAAAGAACACATTACACCAATAAATAGAGACAAACATGAGAAAAATGAACAAAATTGGATGAAACTAGAAAAGAAGGCCCAGGCGAGAGTGAGTTGGAGAATTCTGGTCGGTGGCCTATACTCCATTGTGAGTAACAAGCGTAAGTAATTCTAAGTAAGGTTTTCATTAAAATTGCTATAAATACTCTATATTTTCTGTACATAAACGAACTTTTGAAGTAAATCGTTTTCTTCCATATTTTGCTCTTTCCCCTCCCCATGTTCAAGTCGCTGTGTAAAGGGGTTACTAGAAGGTAGAACTTAAGAAATCGAATCTAGAGTTCAATTTTCAAAAAAAAATATATCAGAAATAATAACATTTACTATAAAGTGTCAATTAACTGAATGAACATGATCAGTAAATAGATTGATCATTATTATCATGATCATGTGAACATTTTGATCGGTTTTTATTTTATAGCAAATCGTTCGCCTTAAAGTTGTATTCTATGGATTACTTAAACTGATTTAAACATTTCAATAAACATGATATTAATGACTCAGTCAGTCAGTCAGCTACAACGTGGGACCAGGCATATATATGAATCGGTCCAAGTTGCCATATCTCATTAACACAACAAGATGAACACCGGATTCATAGGAGTGGTTAGGTCAAAAGTGGTAATATATAGGAGAAAGATTGCATATAAAGATATAGTATAGGAAGAAAGAATTAGTTCGTAGAAAGAAAGATATGAAGCGATTTTAATCTCTTAGTTTAAGGGAAGACAGAGAGTGTATACACCTACATCATTGTAATCAATTCTGAGTCATGTCACCAAGAGTCTCCAATCATTGGTTACGATAGTCACGTGGACATCAACCAAGTAGTCTGCATCTCCCAACATGATTAAGACTAGAAGTCAGTGACTTATTAATGACTACTTATTAATTATTCAGTAAAGAATATCAAGTTTATATTCTTCTTTGAGTTGAATTCCAAATCTTTATGTAGAAGGATTAGATATGAGGTTAGCGATCTTATCTCATAGAAAATGAGTTCGCTTAAATAAAACACTAACTATTATATCCTAACAAAGATTAAATGATGAATAACGTCTGAGAACTATTCATGGATTAATGCTACACATATATTCTTATTATATAACTATTCAATAACTAGATTAACTATATCTATCTATATTCCTTTCATTATAAGATTCATTTTGACTTATAGATTATTATTATACGATTTACTATTCTTAAGATATTCCTTAAATTATTAGTTCCAGTCTATTACATTCTCAGTCACTTCTTTGGCTTGATCTTATATAAATGCTATACCTTATTTTATGATGTGATGTAGTCTGTTTGACTGGTATAATATAAACCAAATATGTTTGAAATAAATGATTTGTATAGTAAAAGCTGAATTCTTGTGCAAAATCGTGCATGGAGGACAGCTAATAGATGCATTTCAAGTAAGGACCGTAGTCAGAAAAGGCTGTCTACTCTCTCCCTTCCTTTTTCTTCTCGTGGTCGACTGGCTTATAAAAACCTTGATATCTGAGGGAAAACATGGAATACAATGGACAGCTCAGAACCAATTAGACGATTTGGACTTCGCAGATGACCTAACCCTCCTGTGGTGTGAGCTACTTATATTGATATGAGTAGTATATGACGCGAGTTAAAACGTAATGTCTGGCAGCAGAAGATGGGGGGGAAGATCAAGAAAGAAAGAGCGAAAACACAATGGAATTTGTAAGAAAATGCATGAACAATGGAATGGGAGACAATGGATTGGTGTTTGCAACAGGAACAGTCCAGGTTGATATGATGCATTAATATTTTGCAAATTGGCGTTTATTATGTGGTTTTCAGATTTTATTAACATAGTCTGTAATGTTCGTGGTAATTGTATACGATTGTCTCTACCCGTGTTCTGTCCACTTCACATAAACACATGGATATATGCAAATGAAGACAACTAGTGTAGCGGCACCATCGGCATCAGTAGGCCTCAACATACGCAAAAGGAAAACAAAGGTCCTCAAATACTAGCACGCAGAACAGTAATCCAATCACTCTTGATGGCGAAACTCTGGAAGATGTAGAATCCTTCACATATCTAGGAAGCATCATCGATCAACAAGGAGGATCAGATGCAGACGTAAAGGCAAGGATTGGCAAAGCAAGGGTCGCATTCCTACAATTGAAGAACATACGGAACTCAAAACAACTGTCTCTCAATCAATATCAAAGTCATAATCTTTAATACGAACGTCAAGGCAGTTCTATTGTACGGAGCTGAAGCTTGGAGAACTACAACAACCATCATCAAGAAGGTACAAGTATTTATGAATAGTTGTCTTCGCAAGATACTCAACATCCATTGACCGGATACCATCAGTAACAGCTTTCTTTGAGAAAGAACAAACCAGCTTCCAGATGAAGAAGAAATTAGAAAAACACGATGAAGATGGATAGAACATGCATTACACAGATCATCAAACTACATCACGAGGCAATCTCTAAGTTGGAATCTTGATGAGAAGCGGGAAAAAGGAAAGCCAAATAACACATTACGTCGGGAAATAGAAGCATATATGAAAAGGATGAATAACAACTGGAAAGAGCTGGAAAGGATTTCCCATGACAGGGTTGGATGGAGAATACTGTTGAGTGGCCTATGCTCCTTCACAAGAAGTAACAGGCGTAATTAAGTGATAGTAAAAGCTGGTATTCATGTTCTGGACTCAACTAGAACAAGGACTAAGAGAACAAAAAATCAATAATGATTCTAGGCTAAACATACCAATGAAATATCATTAGTTTGGTATAAGTATTAAACTTGTATAAATCATATTTTGATTAGTGAATCAATCATATATTAATTAGTTGAACTTCATGTCATAACACTAATCATTGAGTAGAATTATGACATTACATAAGAGAAATTGTATTCTTTCATAAATTACAAAGCGGATACTCTTTCTAAGTAACCAAAGCAACTATGAATATAAATATATTAACTATTCATAGAATATAGATAATCAACTAAACACAGTTATATATCGTTGTGTTTATTTATATTCGATAACAAATGAAAGTTCCATTTAATACAAACTATATATAAATGATGATTATTATTTAGACGGGAATAACATTCGAAGATTATGGATACACCCAATTGTATTGTGTTTCTCTATTCAATTTCATTAATCAGATAGACTTTTTTATACAAATATGATTGACAATTCATTCTATATGAATAACTTTATATAGATATAGATAGATAATTCTATTGTATAGGGTGGAAACTTAGAGAACTATGAAAGTGAATTCTTCAAAACATACAACTATTTATGAATAGTTCTCCACAACAACAAAAAAGTACTTCGAATCTAATTGACTGGACATTATCAGCAACAACCTATTGTAGAAGAGAATAAATTAGATTACAATGGAGAAAGAAATCAAGACGAAGAAACGTTGGAAGTGGATAAGACAAATATTACGGAAAGCATCCAATTGTGTCACAAGGCAAGCATTCGCTTAAAATCCTCAAGACCATAGAAGAAGAAGAAGAACAAAGAACAAATGACACAAAAAAATGATGACAGACATGAGAAGAACGAACAACAATTGGATAAAACTAGAAAGAAAGGCTCATGATAATGAGTTGGTGAAAGCAGGTCGTCAGTCTATACTCCACTGAGACTAACAGGCGTAAGTAAGTAATAGATAGATAGATATATTGAAACATTGAACAAGAAAAAAAGGCGCAATAATCAAGACTCTTAGAAAAAAAGGTATCTTTATTTGATTTAACAAAAGTAGGGAAAAAAATTTGATTCATGAAATTGCATAAATTAATTGTTAAATGATCATGAATATTATTACAATAGATGGTGGTTCAGAATGGATCAAAATGGCGTCGGTGTATACACTCTCTGTCATCCTTTAAACTATCAGATTAGAATTGCTTCATATCTCTCTTCTTTTATTATATCCTTATATGAAATCTTGCTTTTATATAGTACCACCATTGAATTAACTACTTCTATGAATTCGGTGTTTATGTTGTTGTGTTAATGAGGTATGGCAACTTGGACCGATGCATATATATGCCTGATCTTACATTGCAGCTGACTGACTGACTGATTGGAAACTTGTTTATTAAATCATTCAGTAATTGAATGTAAATAATTCATAGTTTATTGTAATATATGTAAAGAAGAGATTGTATCATTTAAGCAGTTAGTCTGAAAAAGATTTTATGGAACCCAATATTCTGTAAACTATTGTACCTCTGTACAACAGATAAGTTATTATGACTGACCAGTTTAATTATATATATCAATTCATCTGTCTTTGTGATGAAAAGTACATAGGTTGTTTATTAGGGTTTCCAGAGATGGCTTCAGGAAATATGCGTATGTTGATTACAAAACTTAGTATCCCAAATGTGGTAAACTACAAGGAAGGAAGCGAAAAGGACATCCTTGGGAATGGTTGTATGCATGTGGTCATGTGAGAGTATTTCTAGAAGTAGAGTGAACTCTCTCAAACATTAGCCGTACCAGGGTATTTGGGGTTTGGGCACTAATCTTTAATTTACACAGTGAATTATTCAAGTAACATTTGAACTGAACTGTCAGATAAAACTTGATTCGTTTGAACTCCTCATGAGATAAATCTGATCGCTTAATCACCTATTTTATGTAAATTATAAAGTCATTTATACAAAATAAATGAAATCAAGCAATGAAATATAATCACTTAAACATTTTCTATTATTATGAATAATACTTGACATGTTTATTCAAGTTATAAATATATAAAACTACGTAGGATATTAATGAATGTTCTATACCCATTGGGTCAGCGTGCTGCAAACTCGACATCTTGATGGAAAATATGGCACAGACTGAAGAAAAGAAGAAAGTAGCTCGGTGAGCAGAACCACCACACGAACGGCTACTTTAAAGGGGGGGACGTGTGGTGTGTGCCAATTCTTAAAATGCGATATACGAATACAGAATTATAGTTTCGTTGATGGAGTTTTCTTCTGTAAGTTGGATGATTTGATCTTTTTGAACTTTCATCGTTCTTCTGAACGACATCATCACCAAAAACTTCAGATAAAATTGAAATGTTCAAATTTCTCCACACATGACTCACAGCTTCGCCTGTAAACCTCATTGTTATGTTGATGATATCATTCAGAAGAACGATAAGAGCTACACAATCAAACCATCCAGCTCATAGAATAAAACTCCATCAAAATCATCCACCTGAGCTATAAATCTTCTCCATCATAGTTTCCTTACAATCATTATGTACATAATTAGGTAAACAGGAAACAGTCTAACTGATCCCAATAGTAAAGTTCTAAGGAAAACTATGGGATTTTGAGAAAATGTTCATCTTTGGTCCACTCTTCAATTCTTTGTTTCTTAAAAGAACTTGTGTATTCAATAAAGTAAAATTTTCTCCAAAAAAAAGACCACATTGATAGTTTCTACTAATCTGGAAGTACTACTTTTTATATCTTCCCCTCCCCACTACTACTACCACCACCACCACAACTAGCAAAAAACAAAACAATAAATAGAATGTAAACTAACCAATTCCATCCAATATAAGATAATCTGTGGATGATTTGTTTTAATTGACATTATTATTTGAAGATTTTCTTTTTTCTAGAATTTCAGAAACTGTCAACTTCTATCTTCAATTAATTGTTGCTGTTGTTGGTGTTGCTGATGGTGATGATGATGCCGGTAATGATGATGTATGTATAAATAAGTTGTTACTAACTGAACACAATAATAGTAAATAGATTTATGTTTCAATGATATTGAATACAATCCATATCCCTAGATGAATTTGTAATGATTATATTGAATGTAAATTGTTAAACATTAAAGTATATTTCCATGAATGAATTAAGGTTACTATGATTATGTAATATTTCATGTAGTTTTGCAACAACAACAAAAAATCTGCCCACCCCCTCCCCCAATTGAATGGTCATATTTAAATAACATTATTCCATTTGATTTTGATTGGTCATTAAAATCAACCAATCAGAATTTCAGCCAATCAACATCAAGTGTGACCTTCAAGGTCAATGGTTCATATCTATTTACATAATTGATTGCGATTATTTATAATCCAAACGAAAAAACTTTTACTAAAAAAAAGAAAAGGAAAACCCACAAATTATTGACATGGAATTTGACTTTTTACTGAAAACAAAATAGCAAAGCAAAGATGGAATCTAGTTTGAAGCGCGTTTCGTCCTATTTGGGACTCGTCAGCTGAATGTACCTGCATCACAGACTCGTTGATGATCACTCTGGGACTCAAACCCAGTACCATTCGCTTCAAACGACATCACGTTATCTACTTAACTTCCACTGCTAGCCACTATCCATCCTTGCTTATAATGCTTGTGAATTAAAACAATATCGAGGTAATATGGCACAGTATAAGCGTATATGCCAGTAAGAGATTGATCAATTTCAGTCCTAAACATTAATGGGAACATTCAAGTAAAACAACACTAAGTGATTTAATTTTCTTGATTAAAAAAAGATAATGATTCATAAAGAAACTAATTTAGTACTTGGTTTATAAAATTCCCAAATAAAATTGTTTGTTAATTTTGTTAAACGTAATCATTTATCCAGTTTGTTATAGTTATAACTTGTGGTCTTATACCCTTATCAATATATATATATGGCGTACTGATACCGCCAATTAGAGAACAATGATTTGTCGATCGGATGAATGACACATAAAACACATAAAAGCAGTCTAGAGTCCTAATCGGTCCAGCTTCCTGACTAGTCCTGCCTGCTTGTTGAATCCAGAATACCAATCTCAGCATCCGCGATATCAATCATCTATTTCAAACATATTGGGTTTATATACTAAGCAAACAGACCACATCACACTATAAAATAGAAAACAACATTTGTATAGCACCTAGCTCAAAAGTGGCTGTGAATGTGGTAGATAGTGATTGATAGACTGGGTGTAACTCAATAATGGTAAATCATATAATAATAGTTCATAGATCAAAATAAAGCTCATAATAAGAGTAACACAAATATCCAGATAGTTTACTTACGTAACAATTATACAAATAAAAGTATGTGTATTGTATTAGTCCAGAAATAGATTCCAACAGTTACTATTCATTATTCTCATCGGGATATAACAGTTATTGATTGTTATTATTATTAATACCATTCCGATGCACTTTTATGACTATGTTTATTAAAAAGCAATGAAATACAAAATGTCAGTTTATGGGTTGTGAAAATTGTTAATTTTTCGATTTAGATCATGAACCAATAGATGTAAGACCACCATTGAAAACCTGGAAGCACCAGATGGCTCAGTGGTTCAGTAGGTTAAGCGTTGGTGAGCGCGAGACTGAAGACCCCGGGTTCGAATCCCGCAAGCGAGATCGTGGATGGGCAATACTGAAGAGTCCCGCAATAGGACGAAACGGATGTCCAGTGCTTCCAGGTTTTCAATGGTGTTCTAACATCAATTGGTTCATGATCTCAATCGAAAAAAAATACAAAATGGTAATCTATCCATTCACAGTTTAATGATTATTACAATGTAAAATATCCATTAAATCTGGTTTTATGTACAGTGAACTGAAGCGAAAATTAAGATTTACCTAGTAACATGTAAAATTAGTTTCATTTAATGAATTATTCAAAAGTTAAAGACGATAGTTTGCATTAGTAATGATAGTTATAATCAAAGGAATCTTAAGAGCTTTAAGAAGAGTCTAGGCTATTATCATTTCTTCGTGATTTACATCTTCGAAGAATAGTTATTCTTGTGGTATCTTAAAAGGGAACTGGAACATGAATGAGTTCCAAGATCAGATAGCATAACTAAAGACTTTAAGGTACATATTGTTTGAGGTCGATCACACGTAGACGTTTTACGAGTAGCTCTTGATGTCTTAGCTACATACTTCAAAAGCTGTACTACTTAGATGGTAATCTCTGGAGAAAGTTCAGATGTGCTATTTAGGAACACTGTAGATGTTAGTTGTCTAAAAGAAACGTTGTTGCCATCCAATCTTTTGGTCAGTCAACAGTATGACTTCACCATCTTGCATTAAGCTGTGGACTTCAATCTTATCATCTTCTAACCAACCTAAATGGTATTTTAGGATCTAAAAAAACAAACGTTTCAACTAATATACCTCAATTTGATCAATAATATGTACAAGCTCGATTACCACATCAAGGTAGTAATTACATTTAGGTAGTTATGACAATATAGAACATGATACGATAATCCAATGTATCAAAAGTATTTTCAGGATAATTGTTAAGTATCTAAACTATGCATATTCATGTTTCTCTTATTTATAACCCCTAGACGATTTACCGTTGATCGTGGATGCGCACCGCTATACCCAATACTGATATTAGAAATGTTTTTCGTTGTAGCGAAAATGTAATATCTTGCACTTCCAAGTACTTATGATGTTGTAATTATGTAACTATGTTCATAGACGCCTCTATGTATTCATACTTATTACTTACTTACTTACTTACTTACTTACTTACTTACTTACTTACTTACGCCTGTTACTCCCAATGGAGCATAGGCCGCCGACCAGCATTCTCCAACCCACTCTGTCCTGGGCCTTCTTTTCTAATTCTATCCAATTCGTGTTCATCTTTTTCATGTCTATTTTCATTTCTCGACGTAATGTGTTCTTTGGTCTTCCTCTTTTCCTTTGGCCTTAAGGATTCCATGTTAGGGCTTGTCTTGTGACGCAGTTGGGTGCTTTCCTCAATGTGTGTCCTATCCACTTCCAGCGCTTCTTCCTGATTTCTTCCTCCGCTGTTATCCGGTTTGTTCTCTCCCATAGTAGATTGTTGCTAATAGTGTCCGGCCAACGGATCTGAAGTATTTTCTGTAGAGAGCTGTTAATAAACACCTGTATCTTCTGGATGATGGCTTTCGTAGTTCTCCAGGTTTCCGCCCCATACAGTAGAACTGTCTTAACATTTGTATTGAAAATCCTGACCTTGGTGTTGGTTGACAGTTGTTTTGAGTTCCAGATGTTCCTCAGTTGTAAATATACTGCTCTTGCTTTGCCTATCCGCCCCTTCACATCTGCATCAGATACACCCTGTTCATCAATGATGCTGCCCAAATATGTAAAGGTTTTTACATCTTCCAAATCTTCTCCGTCAATTGTGATTGGATCGGTGCATGCTGTGTTGTATCGGAGAATCTTGCTCTTCCCTTTGTGTATATTGAGATCTACTGCTGCTGAGGCTGCTGCTACACTGTTCGTCTTCTCCTGCATTTGTTGTTGCGTTTGGGATAGAAGGGCCAGATCATCTGTGAAGACCGGATCGTCCAACTGCATCCTAGATGTCCATTGTATCCCGTGCTTCCCTTCAGGTGTTGACGTCTTCATGATCCAGTCGATCACCAGGAGAAAGAGAAAGGGTGAGAGTAAGCAACCTTGCCTAACACCGGTCTTCACTTCGAACGACTTTGTCAACTGTCTTCCATGCACGATTTTGCAGTGTAATACATCATATGAACTCTGTATGATATTGACTATCTTTTGAGGCACGCCGTAGTGTCGAAGAAGTTTCCATAGTGTTGTTCTGTCCACGCTATCAAATGCCTTTTCGTAGTCAATGAAGTTGATGTAGAGTGATGAATTCCATTCAATTGATTGTTCCACAATGATCCGTAGAGTTGCGATTTGGTCTGTACACAATCTATCCTTACGGAATCCTGCCTGTTGGTCACGAAGTTGGGCGTCTACGCAGTCCTTCATCCTGTTTAACAATACTCTGTTGAAGACTTTTCCCGGTATTGAGAGACGATTGATGACCCTGTAGTTATCACAGTTGCTGAGATCGCCTTTCTTCGGTATTTTGATCAGAAGTCCTTCCTTCCAGTCTTTTGGTACCTGTTCCTCATCCCAAATCTTATTGAAGAGAATGTGGAGTATCCTTGCATTTACTGCTACGTCTGCTTTTAGTGCCTCTGCTGGAATGTTGTCTGGTCCTGCTGCTTTGCCACTCTTGATTTGTCTGATGGCCATGCTGATTTCTTCTATTGTTGGTGGGCCAACGTTGATTGGTAGGTCCGTGGGTGCTTCTTCGATGTTGGGTGGGTTCAGTGGAGCTGGTCGATTCAAGAGTTCTTTGACGTGTTCTACCCACCTGTTTCGTTGCTCATCAATGTTGGTGATTACCTCACCTTCCTTGCTTTTCACTGGTCGTTCTGGTTTGCGACGATTTCCAGAGAGTTTCTTTGTTATGTCATACAGTTGTCTAATGTTCCCTTCTCTTGCAGCCTTTTCCGCCGTCTTTGCTAGATCCTCCACATATTGACGTTTGTCGGTTCTGATGCTCGTCTTTGCTTGTTTGTTTACTACTGTGTATTCAGCTTGTGCCTTGGCTTTTTCTGCTCTTGTTCGACTGCTATTGATTGCTGCCTTCTTGTTTCTCCTTTCTTGAATCTTATCCAGTGTATCAACAGTGATCCATTCCTTGTGATGATGCTTCTTGTGACCCAGGACCTCATGATATGTTGACGTGATTGCCTCTTCGATCCTCTTCAAGTTGCTCTCCACAGTAGTTCCTTCTCCATTGAGTAGATCATGAAAGGCCTGGAACTTGTTGCTCAGGACTATCTTGAATTTGTTGAGTTTGTTAGTATCCTGAAGAAAGGCCGTATTGAACTTTTGTGATATTGTCCCCCCCATTGTTCAGTGCTTCTTGAGTTTCAATTTCATCGTGGCGACCAGTAAGTGATGATCTGAGGCTATATCGGCTCCTCTCTTGGTTCTCACGTCCTCTATAGTCCTCCTGAACGTTTTGTTGATGCAATTATGGTCGATTTGGTTTTGCGTGGTGTGATCCGGTGAAGTCCATGTGGTTTTGTGAATGCGTTTATGTGGGAATATGGTGCCACCTATGACCAGTTTATTGAAG